TTAAAAGGCCATGTGACTGGCTAATTTATCCCTGATCTATGAATTTCAATTGCCTATCCCCTTTGATATACTAATACAATTGAATAATAAGCAGTAGAGCATGCTGCATCAGTTTGCATTCACATCATTATTACACTGGGTCTTTAATCACTTCTTCTGGAATCATCACCTTGAATGGAATAATAGTGCTATGACCTTTTCTAACAAATAACATCTGTTAATTTGCAGAAATTTTACCCCTGGTAAACCTCCTTTTCCTTCTATTGAGCCTGTGAATAAAACCATGTTCATGTGGCTGCCATCCACTTTCACATATGTGCTGCTCTCTGTGATATATAGTCATGCATTACCACATTATGTTCCCCTGCTCTTTGAAAGCCAGATCGTGCTGCCCCGCTGTCTCCCAAGGCCGGCCTCTGTCTGCTCTACCTTAGCCAAGGTCACCTGCGCCGCTGCTAGCTCCGTGTTAACCTTGAGTGGCTAACTGACCAGGAAATGTGCACTTCTGCTCCTCTACTGCCTACATCTGCCTGGGCCCACCGCACAAACATGCAGTGCTGTACGCCTGGTGACCCCGGTCCATGTCATCTGAATAACGCACCCACTCTCAAGGCTGCACAGGTATTTAGAAGGACAAACTCTCTTGTAAAATGTTAATTGAGTTAGCCAACACATCTGATGCATTCTGCCTTAAATTGTACTGCTTAAAGGGCCCATATTATGCTATTTTCTGATGTTTCTATGTTCTAATGTTGTTTTGTTGTGTTTTATGTTATAATGAGTTTGTTTTATTCACACACACTTAACGCACAAACACTGCATATTTAGGCTTAGTTCTCAAACAGAAAACACTTGGTGATATTATATGGCAATAAAGGAAGTGCTGCGCTGTGTTTTTCCATACATCTTCATTAGAATCAAGAGTCAGTTTTGCGTAACATAGAACCTTTAAATAAGTTGAAGTGAGATGCATTTATTCCTAAAATATTTGTCTTATTTGTTTGGAGCTTGCGCATCATGGATCGTTTTCACTGGCTGCACAAGAAGACTGCCCAAATTACTAAAGATTGTTCAAATGAGTCCGAACACCAAAGTCTCTATTTTAGTTAGTGGTGAATGTGGGACTTTACTGTCTCTGTAGGGAATTATTACTCTACAGATAACCTCTGGCTGGAGTTTTTAATGTATAAGGGATATGCCCACCTGGCACTGGTGAAAAATCTTCTGTGAGCCAGATGATGACAGAAGCACACTATAATCCATTGACTGCTATAACTTTTCCAAAACTGTAAATCAGTTCTAGTTTTATGCTGCAGAGAGACTAAAAAGACTAGAAGTCCAAATTAATTCTAGAAAAACACAACATTATGACATTATGCATACTATTGTAGATTTCACAAAGAAGAAAATATCAACATTGCCGAAAATAATCTTATTTTACAATGTTTGAACACTGTCACTGGCAAATAAAACAACTAAATGAAAGCTAAGAAGTGAAAACATGTTGTCCAAAGACTTAAATGACATCCTCAAAGAGCAGCCTTCAGGGAAACCACTGCACTTTGCACACAGGCAAAAAGCCAGTGCTAAATTTAGAATCAGAACTTTCAAAGTCATTTGTCCAGATCAGTGAATTATTTGCAGATTTCAAATAATATAAACAAAGTAGGTCACAAATAATGACAAAATCATCATTCACTTCAAATTACTGTAGATAACTTGAATTTAATTTTGTAACGCATATAAGCCACTTCACCCAGTTTTGACCCAGTGCACCCATTCTCAATCTCAGGGTTACATAAACAGCCTGTCTGAGAAAGATCAAACAAACCAAACAGAGTGAGGAAGTCCACAGGAAGTTAACTGACCGCAACTATGTCCAAACTCTGTGGTTCTGCTCTGACCACAAAAGCACTGGCCTTGAAATATGGCCTGAAGGATCCTCTTAAACGCACAGGGATATGTGCTTTGTCCCTGTCAGTGCAAGGCAGTGTTTTTGAATAGAAGATCTAAGAACTGTTTGAACAAAACTGCACCATTTGTTACATTGAGTGAATGAGTGTATATCTATGATTCATGTAAATGCCCTTGAAAGTAAGTCTTTTCTGGGAACGAATGTTTTGAACTGCAGTAGCAGCCAAACAAACTTTTCTATCAAAGGCTTTGAAAATCTAAAAAGAAAAAAGAACAGCCCCCAGTCTGTAATGTCTTCTATGTGCTGATTGGTCTTTTCAGTCTGGTAAGAAGCTATAGGGCAACTCACTCGACATGTACATGTACTGTTGAGTGAAGGTTTTATCTATGGTTGGTTTCTCAAGTAAAAAAAAAAAGAAAGAAAAGAAAAGTGTAACAGATGTAATAATTTTGCTAAATAATGCTAATCTAAGTTTTTTTTGTTTTTTATAGACACCATATCTGGAGTCCAGGCCCAAACTTCCCACATTGCTATTAATACATGTTCAAACATAAAGAAATGTCTGTTAATATAATCATGATAAAGTGTAATGGATCAGAACCATCTTGGCGACCTCCAAAAGTTCTTTGTCAATAGACCTTGACAGTGGTGGAAGTTTTTTCTGCACTCACAAAGGAAACAGAAAATATAAGTAAACAGTATGTGACTGTTCCAATTAACAAGGCTACATACTAAAAGCTTTTTAAATAAAGGCAAGCCACATAGTGCGGCAGAGCATTAAAACCACAATGGTGACAGTGTATCGGAGACCTTGGCTTTGATATGAAATCTTGTAGCCTTGCCTCTACCGCCCTCCATGTTAAAAGCTCTTTGTGACAAGGAAATTACTTTTATGAACCTCTGAAAGACGCTCCGACACTTCACCCTTCTTGTTAGCTTCATTGCTAGACCGTGAGAGAAGTGTATTTTTCCATTTTATTTTTTTTTAAAACTACTGCTATTCGTTTTATAAACCCTGTCCCTGATTTTATTACACAGATAGTCCTTCATCTTTTGAACTTTCGTCTCGATCTTTACTTAAGGATAAATAGTCATATATTATTTGTATTGTGAGAGAGAATAATAATGTCTCAACATAAAAGTGTTGATGTGAATAATTTAGAGGATTCGTGTAATTTATTAAGGCTTGTTAGAGAATATTCACTGGCCGCCGGCGAGGGCTTTAAACAATTCTTAACCTCTGTCAAAACAAGAGGTCTGTTTTTCATTTGTTTCCCAAGGTCTGTGTAAATCAGTTTGTTGGAATATGTTGGCATTGGCTGAATCATATTTATGAGTGTGTTTTTGTTTAGCACTGCAGTGTGAGCCTTGGTTCCTGTGGCGTGTACCTGGACCGCTGAATGCAGAGCTACATGGGCAGAAATACCAAACATGTGTCGGAGCGGCCTTGAGACTTCACAGGACTTCGACTGCGGTGCTCCGCTCAGTAAACAGGGTGTCCTCCTGTGGCTCTGTGTTTGGAAAAGGAAAACCAGGAAGCTGATCAAACACCGGCGCAGAAGGCCACGGCTGCAGCAAGCTGGAATAGAGTCGTGTGGGCCCTTTCTAAACGAAAGGGGAAACGCTCAAAATAACATGTCCCTGCAGGAGTTTAAGTCTACGGCTCTGTAGCTCCTGCTGAGCTGTGTGTGCTGTTTGTACGTGCAGCGTTCTTTCACATTTAAATGGTACATTTCTCTTGTTAGGTTTTTGAAACAACATTTTGATGACTGCCAATCCAGAATTTCTCCAGAAATCCAGAGGTTTATTTCCCTCTCTTTTTTCTAAATCCTCCTCTACATTGAAGAACAGATCTGGAAATGTGACATTTTTGGAACACTGATAAAACATGGGACATTAAGTAAGTCAGTCTGTTTGATCAAGCATTTACCCCTGAACTATAGTCCTTGCTGTCCACTTTAACATGCATAAATGAATGGACAAGTTTGTTCTGTTTACATTGAAAACCCTAAACCCTAACCCTCAAAGCCTAAGTGGTTTGTTTGGCTGATACTGGTGACATAGTGTACATCATTTGTACTTGTATTCTGCACAAGTCTGTCCCCAGGATAAATCATGCTCTGCAGATAGCTTTATCTGGTGTCTAAATACTCTGCACAAGAGCTGCTATCTGAGCTGAGCCGGCCGAGTGCCTCCAGATTTACTATGTGAATGACATCATAGATTATGAACAGCAGACTGCAGATCACGGGAAGAATTAGCTGAATGAACGTGGCACAGATGTGTGTGTAGGTGTGTCTAAGTCCCAGAGGTTAAAAAGTTAAGTGAGAAGGCCTCCCCCTGGTGAGCGTTTATTAAACTGCAGACCTTATGTGAAGCTGTTTGCTCCAGTGTGTAGAGACACATCTGGACAATGTCAAAGACACAGAAGGTCCATGGGGAGGGAATGACTTTGAGCCTAAACTATTTAGACTTGAACACTTTAGTATTGTTTTAGTCTACAAACAAAGCACCATATCGGTGATTTCATAAAAAAGGAAACCCGTATACACAGGTCTAGATGTTGATGCATTGGTAATATGAATTAAAATATGCAAAACATTTTCTTTACTTTGTGTTTCAGTTGAAATTATGTAAATACTACTATATTTTAAGTCTTCTTTTCTTTTTTACAAAAACAAAAATTTCATTTCCTGTTAAGTTAAAGGTGCAATATGTAACTTTTCTGATGAAGAGTTCACCACCTCCTTGTCTCTATGGAGATGTTATTGCTTTGCCTCATATGTGCCACAATATAGTATCAGACACTAAACTACCAAATTACCTTGCATTTATTTATTCAGTTGTCAAGTATTTTTATTGCTCACAAATACAAAAAACATACATTGTTATTTTGAGCCAGGATGCTTCTTTACAGACCTGACCTGTAAATTGGCAGGATGACTTCACTTGCTTGCCTCCATGGAGATAGATTTGTTAAATGCCATACTGGGAAACATTCCAGGCAAAGCAATAACATCTTCACAGAGATGAGCAACAACAGAAAAGTTACATAGAGAACCTGCAAATCAAGCAGCAGTTACTATTAAAATATAGTTTACGTTTATTTGTCACATACACATGCACACAGTACAGTATTCAGTGGTTTGCAGTCCACATTTGTATTATCATTTCAGCATTTAATAACACATCAACAATTGTTGTTCTTGACAGAGGGTTACCTTTACCACTATTTCTCATCCATTTCCTTCTCCTTCGAGGGCATCTCTTCATTGGAGATCTGGAGAAATGGCGTGCTGATCTCACTAGACTGCATGTCCCCTGCCACTCGAAGCAAGCAGCTCAAAACCATATCTTTGGCCGCTCCCGCCTCCATGTTAACCTCTCTGCTCAACTGCAGTGTGATCTGATCCAGGCTTGTCAACACCAGCTCCGAACCCAACAAGGGACACATGGGGCCTCCATGTGCACCCTCCTTAGCCATATTCTCCATCATGTACTGCTGATAAAGATCTTGAAGTTTCTGCTCCAGGTAATGATTCAGGAGGGAGTTGGAGAAAGGACCTTCACGCCCTTGCAAAAAGAAACTCCGGTCACGTCCACTTCCCTGTCTCCACTGATGAGACCCCTGTTTGACGGGAAAGAAGTGTCCACCTTGGGGGGATTGCTCCAGAGGGGGTAAGACGTCATAAGAATGTAGTAAAGGTCCAGCAGTTTGGAGTTTATTGGGGCAGAATTCTCCCACATTTGCCGACAGAGGGAGGACTTGGTCACCGGCGATGTGGAGGTCACTGTAGTTTTGGCAAATGCTGTTACAGAAGGAGGGAACGAGGAAGGGGGCGTCACCGGCAGAGTGGCCCTGAGCTGGGATTTCCATTTCAGGAGAGATCTGTCTATCCGGCCAGACTCGTTCCAAATCCAAGGACTGCAGAGAGGAGATCTGCCGGGGCCCTGAAGCGCCTGGGCTTTTCAGAGGGCCAGGGCACGAGCTGTGTTCAGTGTGGAAAGTCTGTCTAAAAGCAAAGGAAAGTAACATTATTGTACTCATCAAGTCAAACAAATATAAAGACAATGACTCACCTTTTCAAGATCTACTTTTACCACTTCCTTCTACTACTACCACAACTTTTAATGCAGTTCCTATTTACCACTATACTAACTATTCCAGGTAAACACTTGTTTACTTGGACAGACATCAAATATTAACTTTTTTTTTTTTTTTCAAAATAATTCCATATATCTTGCATCTGATGTCTTTTGTATGTATAGCAAATGTACAAAGTTGTAACAACAAGTAACAAACATTATCCCCTATCAATCACATTTTACATTTTAGAACCCCCTAAAAATATTTCAGTGATAGGATTTATTAATAGAGACAAGGTAAGCTTTTAAATAAACCTAGTTTGTACAACAAAATAACGTTCTTTCCTGACACCGGATTAGCTGTAGTCCTGTTCATTAAAAAGCCCAAATTCAATTCAGGTTGTTTTGTATAGCCCAAAATCATAACAGCAGACACCTCGCAGGGCTAATCTACAATACTGTTGATTTAACCAGCAGAAGTTACAACATCAAACAGAAAGTTAGAAAAGCCAGCTGTTATGGATATTTATTGGTAACAGTTCAGATTTAGATTTGATTTATTGCCTAGACACACATTACTAACTGTTACTGTACCTATGTCTGAATGCGTCTGCTGAACCATGAGCAGCTCCACCGGGGACATCATCCTGACGACTCTCTTCACCTTCGTTGTAGATCACACTCCACAGTCTGCCTTCACACAGCATGGCTAAAGAGGAGGCAAGTGAAGTCTGGATGTTGATCTATTATTAACTAGAAATGATTAGTATTTTCCTTGAATACTCACCTTTTTTCTTCTATGGGCAGGCTACCGCTTCAAGCATTGTATAGTCCCCCAAAGTTTAAACCCAAAAGATTGTCTTATAATGACTTTACAGGAAGTGAGAGGACAAATTTGTTTGTATTCCTTCCCCTTTTGTGAGAACTTGTTTTGCAGGTGCTTTAACTTAAGCCCTAAGAATTTACTGATATGAAAATACTGCCATTCATTAATCCTAGAAACTATCTGGACCACATTTGTGAGGCTGAGGGCAGTGGATCTATCAAGTTAATGACTAGTAGATGCCTTTGACATGTTAAGTAGCTGACTAAAGACTTGAGTGTACAGTACCAGTGGCTTCTGGCTCTAAGTAGCTGTTTGTAAATTTAAACCACTCAGTTGTGTTTATTGGTGAAAGAAACAGGTGAGTTTCAGGTTACCCAGAAGCAGAATAGAAAGTGTGTTTTATATTACTATGCTGACATGTCAGGGGAGAGGAAGTGTGATTACTTTGAGGTTATTAGGGGTTTTTGTTTTTTAACTGGTATCAACGTATTAAACCCAGGAACACACAATATACAGATGCAGGACAGCGACCACTTTAAATCTCACTTCTCTTTTGATTTGCTCTTTCACCTGAGAAGAAACTTTCCATGTTCCATATTTATAACAGGGATCTTTTTGAGAGGAAAACCCCTTGTGTGTGTATGCCTGACTTCAGTAGAGTCCTTTATTCACACGTCTTCCTCTTAGGGATGACTAACAATGAAAGCGCATGAAACATGAGCGTAGCTGCTTCATTATTAACCAGGCTGGAGACCAGGAAACACATTACACACATGCGCCTTTCCCCATTTTAAAAGAGGTAGAGAACAAAGCACAGAACAAAATACAGAATTATGCAGTAGTAATGTGAATCTATTTTCAAAGTATATTTAGGGCAAATGAAATGTAATTCATAATTAATATACAGTATCTAAAACAAACAAAGTACATATTTCTTGACTGTACGGATTCCATATCCAGCTTAGCACAGCTGTTTAGTGGGAAGCTACTTGTATGTGTCAGAATAACCGACACAATGCTAGTCCTCTTCTCTGTAGTAATGGCAGTGCAAAGGGTAGAGTTACAAGCTGTTACCCAGCAACATCCAAAAACACTGGCATGGTGAGACATGGTGAGATCAAGTTAGGGTGGATTTGTGCTTCAACAAGCAGCAGCTTGGACACTTCAGGACCCTGGACAGTGGTAGAAAAGTCCATTTGAATCTGTTTTAGTAAAGGTTTTTCTAAGACGCTATGGATGTGAGGCCTAGAATTTTCCAGGATTTTAAGGAGCAGCGTGTGTTTATGAAAGACTAGAGGAATGTTCAGGAAGATCAACAATGTGTTTCGGCCCAACCACCACGCCAACAGGAGCCACGATGCTCGAGGAAGGGGGCCCCGCTCAGAGCATGACTACCACAGCGCCTGCACCGTCCGACTGGTGCGCAGTACGTCCATGCTGGTGGTGGGGGAGAGAACTCAAACTGCAGGGTCCACCTTAAAGAGGAGCAAAAGCACCGTGAGCATTCAGTCCACACTGTACCTGTATCAGAGACAGGAGGACCGCATCTGGCTCTACTCACAGAACCAAAACTGCCTGGAGTATCTTGAGGCGCTGGTGGCTCTCAGGAGGCAGTACATCAAGAAAATAACAGAGCTCAAGAACCAAGAATCAAATGAGAAGGCCACAGTCTCCAACAAGAAAAGATCTGCACCCCCTCCTCCTAAAAAAGAAGAGCAGGTAAGTGTTTGTGCTAATGTATGAGTTCAAAGATCACATACAGAATATTGACTCTTTGTGCCTGTAGAAAGCCAGAGCCAAGCCCTCTCCCCCCCCAGTGCCCAGTGAGGAGGATACCCTGCAGTTCTTAGATGCCGTTATTGCCAGCTGTGATGATGAGCCTCTCCGCAAACCCTACATGGATGATGGACATGCAGATGTGGACTTTATAGGTATACTTCTTTTCATACAATATAATATATAATATATAATTGATATTATTATTTATCGTGTTTGCAAAAATTATTAAGATCTTGATCCATGTTTGATGTCTAACTCCACATATTAATCTCTCCCTCTCTCTCTCTTTACACATATATATATATATATACACACACACATATCACGAAATTGTGGGTGGACTTTTTATGTTCACATTATAACCATTTGACACTGTAAAACATCATGATATAGTGCAATATAGTTAATTATATTAATCAATGTAGTTAATTATATTAATGTGCTTTTTGACAGTGGCGTCCAGCTCGGCAGAACACGACCTCCACTCAAACTGGTCACTGCGTGTGCCTCGAGGGCCAGGGGGCAGTAATCAGACTGAAGAAGATCAATCCTGTGCCAACAACAAAAGTGTCCCAAAGAAGAAGGGCTCCAGTGGCTCCACCAGCAGCAGACTGCGGCTGCAGAGGAACCCCATCCACCTGCCCAAAGTGGTGGAGAGTGCCTTCCAGACCATGAGGCTCAAGCCTAGGTTAAAGAAGCAGTGAAACCACCATCATACTTCTGAAGGATTTACGAAGGACAGTTCATGCACTGGATTTTATTACAAGCATGCCCTATTACCTTCAGAAATGTTTTATTTAACAGTTTATACATTCTTCATGTTTCATTGCAGCAATTACTGGTATTTGTACCAAAGCATGTGAATCGCTAAATATCAGTCTATTTCAACTTATTCTCAAGAGGAATTCTTTTATAGAAGAAAATACACGAAAACTTGGAATGTTCTTCCACTTGTAGATGAAACTACTTTATAATCTATGTTGAAAGCATTTTTATACTTCAAGTGTTTTGCACTCATTGAAATGAGTAGAGGTTATAACAGAGGTTTTTTTTTTTATAATTTTGTGACAGGTTACACATACTGTATAATTTAATCATTTAACAATGGCTTTTCACTGAAGACTGGTCAAAAGATTAAATTTCTTGTTGAATGACTTCACTTAGTGGCTGGGTTAAGATACAGTTAAAAAAGCCAATATGAAGGCTGAATTGTTTGAATAGTTCTAACCATGTTTCCAGTGAAATTCAATTCAAGTTTATTTATATAGCACATTTAAAAACAACTTCAGCTGACAAAAGTGCTTAACATAAAAGTCAGTGAAAGACTTGTTAAAGTACCATATACTTTAATATTAATTCCATCATATTACTACTTAATATCAAATGCAATATTCAAATATAGATTTAATGAAAAATACAGACATATGTACTGAGGCTGATAAAACTGAGTTAGGACTAATCACCAAAATATCTCCATTTAGTCTTCATCTGCTGTTACTTCTACAAACATGTTGTGCATGTCATTCTTCTATTTGTTAAGTTTACATTGCAGTTTTATGGCCCATGGTGTGTTTGAAATGTAATGCAAAAGAAGGAAAGTTTCGACAGTACACATTTTACATTCCAAAGTGTTCATCTTTAATTTGGGTCCCTCACACATTTTCAAACCATGTTCTGTCCCGTCCAAAGAGCAGACAACTTTTTAAGGCAACAAAATGCCAAACCTAAGAAATTAGGGAATTAGGCTTTGCTTGGCTAAGGCTTTTTTCCTTCAGCTAGACTTGATAACCAACCAAGTTATTTTAAAGAGCTTCATATGAGCAGACAGATCCATACAAAATCAAATGTCTTTATTACAATGTAGTTCACAACAGCAAAACATTTACTTTTCTGTTTTGACCTTGGGACTGAAAAAGGACGACATAGTCTTCATGCCGGTCTTGTCTACTTTAGCCAGAGTTTTCTGAGCTGCTGTCATCTTCTTCGGTGGCTGAAATTAAAAGTTTACATAAGTTGCATACCCAGTGGCCTTGCAAAAAAAAAAAATCATGTTCTAGAACCTTCTCCCCTTTATCTAAACCGTCTTTGGACAGAACCTAAAGAAAGCTGTTTACTCACAAGAATTACTCGCTACTTGCTTTATAATAAGTGGGACAATTACTCCTCATTGGCCATAATCTCTCTAAAATCCCTTAAATTAAAAATATATTCTCCAAAACTTAATCTTAAATCTTAAGCTTCACTAAGCTTTTATCTTTTCAGGCAGACTTGTCAATAATACACTCACTTTTCGCGCAAAGTCTGCACTGTTGAATTTGGTGTAGTCCTCTCCAGCCTCCACAGGCTTGTCAGACAGTTTCCGCTTCTGTTGAACGGGGAAGTAAGAAAAGCTTAGCACATTTTTCTGAGGAATAGAGTGTTCACTCAACACTAATATAAAGGCTTTCTAAGTGTGCAAAAATGACTACTAATGTTACATAAGGAGGAGGACTACAGATAATGTGCACTGTGATTTTCATGCAACTTGAAAACAGAAAAGTACATCCTTTGCATACAGGACACCCTACCTTTGACGGTGGCTCAGACTCTTTTGGGCTTGTGACTTCAGGTAAACTGAAAAATGTATTTTGATGGTTAATATTTGGTAATTATTTCTAAAGCTTTGTCCACAGGGCTTACTTTAAGTGTTTGAGGAGGGCGTTGCTCAAGTCTTCGTTGAGATACTCCGATATAAGGCCATGGGCATATCGCAAGTAGTCCTCTGCCGATGAAGAAGTGGCACTCATGTCATTTTAGGTTAGCTCAAAATGATTAGCTGCATACTAACAAGCACTCCTACTGCCATCTACTGTTGAATAACATAACTACAAAACTTCATAGTTGATCCTTAAATAAAAGTTTCTCTGTATTTTCACAAATTTGCGCCATTTTCACCATACCTTCAGGACAATCTGATTCAGTCTTGACTTTTATATATGTTGCAGACTTTACTCCTTCTCCAACTGAAATGTTCTTTTTCTTAAGAGCAACAACTGTTCTGTCAACCTAAAATAAGATCACATTTCCACCACAAATTAATCAAACATAAATGTACTGACAAAAGGTTTAATAGACCAACAAAGTAACACAAAATACCTTTTTCTTTAACCAGTCTAATGTCCGCTCTTGACTGTACCGAAAAAATTTCAGACTTCCCACCTCTAAAGTTAAAATCTATTATGAAAAATTTGCAAATACTTAATTCATTGTTATTTACAATTATTGTAAAATCACCTTTTTCTTCTGCAATATGGCTCAACGAACAGGGACAGTTCAGCAATCTGGAACAGGCTGGGAAATTCTCATCCACTAAAAGCTGCTCTATGGGTTGAAACTTCTCCTGTATATTGTTTTCGTTATTATTAATTAATAAAAAAAAACATACACAGTCATGTTATTATGCACTCATCATATACCTTACCTCTTTGCCAGCATGAAGTAAATATGGCAGCAGAAGATAGAGAGGGTCGAGTGGTGTGATGAAGAGGAGCCTCCCATCTACCATGCACACAATAAGGGCATTAAAGTGCTATGATGGTGGGCTGCTGACATTGATCAGCAGTAATAGTCAATGACAAACCTTGTTGTACAGTCTGACCAATAAACCAGCTGTGGTAGTCTTCGTCAAATGCTTTCACTTCATATAACTGTGTATCACCACTTCCCAACATATAAAGCGATACTGTGTCTGCAGATACAAAAAAGGGGAACTTTTACTTTCACATCCTATTAGAGCTAAGTGGCCCTTATGCAAAATGAGTGCAGCGTATTTTATGAATTAAAAGGGGCATCTGCTTGTCTCCATGGAGATTTGTAGATTTACAGGTAATGTTCCACAGTATGGCTTTAAATTTATCTAGCATAGTGGATATAAGAAAAATGTAATTATTTAAATTGGACATAAGTTTTCTTATAGGTGTGAGAGCACCCATTAGGGGCTTGAACGCTTATGCAAATATGACAAGACCTGGCTAACAAACAGAAATTGTAAACAAATGGGTGTTAATTTCAATGCACTTAGCTCCTCCCTTCCAGATGTCTGTCCAGTTGACAGAACTGATTTTTTTTTAGCTACGGATCCTACCTGATCCTACATTTATACTGTAAGTGGGTCACCCCTTCACAGATCTGACCTGCAACTTGGCGTGATGGCATCAATTGCTTGTCTCCATAAGTTTATGGACATAATATAGAACAAAGCATAGCCAGTAAAAACACTCTACCAAATAAGTTACATAGTGCACCTTTAACTATAGTCTCAGAAGGTCATCTTTAGATGCTATGTAGGCCATGGGAATACAATGGATAGCGCCCGTTTACCGTGTTTATGTATTGCAGCAAAGCATGCATGGGTAATTTTTCCAACCTGTGCGTGGATTCTTTAGTTTCACAAAAGATGGGTCTGCGTCACGCCTCTTTGAATCAACAACAGAATCTGTAACAATACAAAAGCTTTTACTGACATACAGTATGGCATGGTTGTAATTCAATAGTTGTGTAACACACAGTCTTTCCTATGTTTGATGCTTTCAGTGACCATAAGAGCAGTAAAAGAAGAGAAATAATACGGAAACTTTCGTTGACAGTTCAGAAAATGTATCGCGAGTTATAAGTTATGCAGCCTGTTAGCACCGTTAGCTCAAGTGTTTCTTTTCCTACCTGCTGCAATGACAACCCAGCTGTCACTTGGGGCACTGGGCGTCCGCTTCTTTTTGGTTGACATATCGTGAAGTAAATGTAACAGAAGTACAAAAGAAGTGCTTTAATCTTTTAGGGATGAAAACCAAGTGCTAGCATAACAGTGTAATCGCGTTTGACTGGCTACTTCCACTGCATCACATGGTTCAGAAAAGGCGCGTCTCTCTGCCCTCGCTTTCCAACTCGCTTCCTGCTGTCGACCCACAAGATTAAAGCAGATAGATATGGCACGAAAATCTCGAACTGAAATTTTGTGTTGAATCGGTAACTTATAGGTGAGCTTTGATGTGTGTAATGTCTAGTTTTTCCTTGAAGTTGCGGTGTTAAACATTTTAATTTTCTAAAGCTCGGCTGCTCCATGTGGACATGTGGAGGGAGTGCAGTCCATGAAACTGTACACTAGATGTCGACCAACCACCGTGATACTATCAAGTGCATTTAAGGTACTGTTTTGTACTCATTTACATGCTGTTAGGTGTGTTATGTGCAAAAAAATATTCTGTTATAAGTCATTCGGATTTGCTGTTCTTGAGTGCACGGCGTTTTCGTGACTAGTTGTCCTTTGGCGCATGTTTTAGAGCAGTTGGGGGGTCCATCTGTCTTTGGTCCTCTCTCCTCTCCCTCTTTCTCCTCTCTCTGGATGTCACCGTGAATCCCAGTTGGTTTTCTGTGACTCACTTGTTTTTATTTCCTACCACGGTGTTTGTGATGGTGCAAAACAGGCTACGGGACACGAGATCTCTTTCGTTAGACTACCTATTTTAAGCTGTATATCTCAGTTCTGTGCACGCTTGATTTTCATTTCAGCCAGTGCTTAAGTGACCAATGCTGCTGACTTTGTGAGAGACTTAGTAATATTGACTAATAACACACTTTGGAACTCTCAAAATTAACCTTTAACCTAAAATGTATAGTTGCATGTAGGGTTGTTGGAAAGGAACAAAACAAAACAAAAACAACCAAACAAAACAAACTATTAGTATCAATGCTGCAAAAAATCACATAGACTACTGATGTGTTTCACATGACACCACAACATTCTAGGCCAGTATTTATATTTAAAAGGCCCATATTATGCTATTTTCTGATCTATGTTATAATATTGTTTCCTCATACACACAGTCCTGCATATTTCCACCTTGTTATGTCATGTGGTAATTCAGGAAGTCCTCCACTGTGTTTTTAAACTCCAAACACCTGCACTATAATCGTTTGGATAATTTAAGGCTTGGATTTGCCAACATTTTCATGACATCACAAGGTGGAACAGAGCATTTTGAGCTTTGGGGATGTAGATAGACTAATAATAAAGGGTTACTCAGACATGTGTGAATGAAACAAAACACAACTTCAGATATGTTTTTGATAAGGTAACTGCAGTCTAACATGGCTTAAAGCTTAGTGTCATTTTTGTGTAATAAAGGACCTTAAAGACAGAGGGCGCACAGCTAAAAGGAACATATTGGTTTAAATACTGATTTGTGAATTTACCTCTGGATATTTGCTGAAATAAAGTACTATGTGACCAACAGGAAAAACTATCTCTTGTCCCCATCTGGGACTATGACATCATTGCGGTCCAGAATCTGAAAAATATAGGCCAGACACAATGCTACTAAGTTGTACCATTTACCATACTACTGCAACTCACATGATTGTTGTGTAGGCGTACATTACAGTTAATTTACTAATAAAAGACTTAGGTTTGCTAATAATGTACCTAATCTTCTGACACAATTGCGTGTTCTTGCTCATATTTGGAGGCAGCTTACTCAGGAAACATGTTGAAATTTTGATTTTGTTTCTTGCTTTAATGACACTGATTTATGTTGCTAAAGTCCGTGGCACAGCAAGCGTGGGTGAGATGTCTGTGAATGACTTGTTTTATGGCTCTCGGGAGAATCATGACACAACAGTACATGTGCCGCTAAACAGAATATTCTATGAAAGCGCCCTTTCTTTTTTAGACTGCTTGGGGGGATGTCTGTGTTTCTGACTGACAGAGGGAACAACAGCGGTCTTTCTGAAACTTTGGACCAGAGACAACCCTCGGAGAGCCAGTCCTCTGTCACCAGCAACCAGACCAGAACAAAGTAAGTCTAAAAATGTAGGCCCCAAAAAGTAAAAAGTTCAAACACCTTGCATCTTTTTGTACAAATCCCCATTGGTTATACATCTACAAAGAGAATCACTATCATTGTCTGTGCCTTTTCCTTCCCCTGAGCAATTCTCACTAAAAGAATTATGTTTTGTGCTTCAAAATAGGGAATTATTTTGACTGTAGGTTGTATCAATCTGTGTGGTATGGAAAATTTTACATTGTATTATTATTATTATTATTATTGGTATTTATTAAGTGCTGTCACATGAGAAAATAACAGAATAAGTATATAATTGTAGTATTGCAATTCTAGTATTACAGTATAATTACAGTATTAGCGGGTATGATAAGTCTAGCTGTTTTAAACTTTTATTTTTAATTTTACTCAAGTTATGTATTTTTTGTGGCTTAGCACTTCCTTAACAAAGAAATTGTCTGTTTGATTTTCGACTGTAATGACTGTCAGACAAATCCAGGTGTTATCAGTAACACTTGTGTCATTCAGGTACCTCTTTTGCACTTCCACAGCTGTTAAAGCCGCATAGCCATTTTGAATATGCTTCATATGGAAACTCCATTATCATCATCATCATAAGCCTGAGGAGGTAATGTACACACCAATGAACTCATAGCACGCACACACTCACATACTCACACACACACACGCACACACACACATACACACAGCAGGCTACATAAAAACAGATGTGGAGAGAATTCCCCTTGGCAGCAGAAGCCTTTGAGTCATCATCTGGGATTCCCTTCCTCTCTCTTCCAAATATGGGTGGGATTGTGCGAGAGAGCGGGTGTGTGGTAGACAGAGGAACCCCTCCGTGTGATGTCACAGCTCGTAGCCTCGCGCTGCCTGGAAGTGCAGAGGCTGGAATGTCGGGAACGTAAATGTTATCCACTCATGCATGTTTGTTAGGGCTTTTTCTCTCACACACTGATATAAACATGAAGCACTTTTTGCACCTCACCAGGGAGATGTTTGGTCTTCCCGTAAGGTCTGGTTCCCCCCACCGCTCAAGACGCCGGTGACTCCTCATTCCCAGCATCAGTGTGCTCTGTGAGGCCTCCGCTGCACTGGTATTTCCTCTTTCCCTCAACGCTCAAAATGGTGATGACCGTAATATCACGGGTTTACAGCAAGTCACACCCCAGCTGCATGTGGTCTGCATAAATACACTCTATTTTTATAGCTAATTTATAGGCAAATTTATTCATTTTTTTAACATTGTTCTGGCACAACAAAGATTTTAAATAGTGATTTATTTGGAATTTTTATGGATTGCTATTACTCCATGTTTGTTTTATAGCTGGCTTGGTTGGCAAGCACTGTACATACAAAAGGCGTTGAGGTTCTATAGATAAAGCTGTCAGCAGATGCCAGCAGTTACTGCCAAAGTCATCTTAGTCAATGGGTATGTCTGGCACTAACATTGTTTATGAACAACAATATGGAAGAAAGGATCAGTGGGTGTTAAATATTTGCATTTAGAGAAGTGTAGGAGCAGTAGTAACACACATACAGAAATATTATTATATTATACTTTGTCTGCACTTTTACACCCTTCAAATGATTTTTGTTTGGACAAGTTCCCATTTATCTGGATTATTAGAGGTACTGTGAATGCTATAGACTGATAGCGCACAAACTACAAATCCATTTGGATGCACTGATGAGAGAACAAGACATATATTTTTATCAGTCAATGACTGTCCCCAAAATTTTTACTTAATCAGTGAACCTGAACACCCCTAGTTCAGTGTGTTAGCAGCTGTAGTTGTTGTAATCTGGAAGAAGAAATGGTGAGTATCAGTAATAGATGTAGTATTATTATTTTTGCTTCTTGATATTTTTTTAATCTCATCCAAACAAGTCAAATTTCTCTTTGCTATAAATAAACTACTGTATTTTGTCTATTATTCTTTTAAATTTCTATGAGTGTCAGGGTCTAAAACCATGAGTATGCTTGTGGTTGAGCTCTACATAACAGACAGATGACTCAGGAACAGGTAGGACTCTGTGTGGGGTGATATATTGATGAAAAAATAAACGATAATATTGAAACTAATTTAGGCCACTGATATAATAACCCAACAGCAGGGTTATTCCCAAAAACTAAATGTATAATATATCTTAAAAAAAAAACGGCAATAAATAAATAACAGAATTAATCACTTTAGTAGTTTGTTTTTATCTATAATGAGCCCATAGAAGTTCTTTATTCAATTCCTCACATCTAAAATCTGGTCATAGTACAAAAAATACCAAAAAGTTTCTAACTAGTACAAAGAAAACGTTCCCACTATAAATACTGATCCCCAAAATGTATTGTTCCATCTAATATATTGAATGATAAGTCGATAAAGTAATTATCGTGACAGGCCTAGGAATATAGTGCCAGGACTGGAGGTGATGCTCTGAGCCACAGTTTGAATGGAGAGAAAGTTGGTAGCGCAAAATCCTGTCTAGTTTACTATGTTGTCTAGGCCTGTGTTCTGAAAAAAAAATCAGGGGTGATCTCAGCAGTGTGGCAAATGGAGCATTATGCGTTTCCATCCTTGTTGTAGGCCCTCTAAACTCTATTTGTTTTTTGTAGACATTTTAGCAGCCGCAATAGTAACACTTTATAACTGATTTAACTGACTTAATTAGCTTTGAAGGTGCCCTGCTATCTGCTTGTCTCCAGGGAGATGTTATTGCTTTGCCTGTAATGATCTACAATATGGCATTAAACTTATCCAACTCAAGTCATGTTACAAGTCAGATCTGTGGAGTATTGAGGCTCACAGTAAGAAGAATATGACATACTGTATTTAGCAATATAAACACATCTAATTGAATAAATGCATGAGAGATAAGTTTCATGTCACACTGTGTAACATTTCACAGCAAAGCAATTACATCTCCATGGAGACAAGCGGTTTGCGGACCCCACACTTCAAAGTTAATGAAGCTTTAGTTTCTAATAAACAAATCGTTTATTAAGAATGATTCAGGCTTATAACTACTAAATAAATACCCATCCCCTTAATTAATTAGTTGCCAATTCTGAATCATCCTTAATAAACTATCTATTGTTTATTATGAGTTAAGTCTTTCTTCGTGCTCTATAAATATGTAAAGAATGTAGTTATTATAAAGCATTTTCGCCACAGTTGTAATTAGGTCTGTCACAATGATTACTATATCACCTTATTGTTCAATATATGATAGGTGAAAGTATGTATTTTGGGTCTTAGTATTTATTTTGTGCACGTTTTCTTTGTAAAAGGGGAGATTAGAGGTATTTTTGTTGTAATAAGATACAGTCTGAGCTCTACAGGGTTAAATAACTAACTTCTATGACTTATTATTGGTTAATTCTGCTATTTTTTTATTGCAGCTCAGGTCTTTTGAATGACACTGTCTGTTTAAATATGGTTTACTGAGGTTATCTTGCACTATTTGTGTTTTTTTTAACTATTTTATACATTTAGAATAGTTTTAAGGGATAACTCTGCTGTAGGGTTATTATGTATAAAGTATGTAATATCAGTTATCTCAGTATATCTTTGTAGCATTTTATTGCACTTCAAAATTTGTTATTGTGACAGGCCTAATTATAACAGCATGTGTATTTACTTTATTCATACATTTCATTCCCTTTGGACTCCAGTAATGAGTCTTTAGCCACAAAATGTACATTGAGCTCCACAAGGGGCTTTCATATACCATAGCTGTCTGTTTCTTTCTCTGCTCGTCCTCTTTGCGTTTCCCCGCCAAGTCTCCATGCCACAATGCACCATCCCCAATCCTAATTATTGTTTACTGGGTCTAACTCTGCGCTGGCCCTAAATCTCTTTCTCGCTTTCTCTGTCTTTCTTCTCTCTCTTGCTTTCTCTCTCTCACTCTCTCTCCCTTCTCTTTTTCTTTCTCGCTTTATCCCGAACCAGAGATGATGTGTTAATTATATCTGCCGACCGTTTTGGCTCCACCAGTCTCTCACCACTTGCACAGAAATTAGAGACCGAGCGGGCGACTTTAAAGCTGTAATTAGACTATATCCATGTATGAAGTTTGTTGGTTTATTTGTTTACGAGACCCCATGTTTCACTAGGACGGGTTTATGTCAGAAGATCCCACCAAAGCAGGGACAATGAGAGTGGTTACTGTAGCGGTAGGTGTTGTGGAGGAATAGCCATTGTTCTAAATTGTGAATCATTATAGTTTAATTTAGGAAAGTTGCAATTTAGTACACTGTAATATTTTGGCTTACATCAGATGTGTAGGAAGGTGATGTATGGGTAGATAATAATGCAAAAATAATCTTACCAATGATTTTTTTATTATTATACTCCTTGTAGGGAAATTTGAGTGGAGCATCATACTTTTACTAGGGATGAACCGATACCAATACTGAAAATTTAGCCAGATCGGGTATCGGTTACATCATAGCGGTTAAGCCAATCAGGGGAATAGATTGGGGGGGGTGGGTCTGTTGTCCTGGGCCTCAGGGTTTAGGGGCCCAGAACTGGAACTTCTTGTGAGACTTCTTGCCCCGGGCCCTCAAATTTCTGTTGACAGACCTGAAGCCAGTATCCTGGTTGGGCCTTTAATTGGATGTAATAAGACAATTTATTGGATGATTTTGGCCTAAAATGTTTCAAAGTTTTTCAGAAGTCATTTAAAGAATAAATAACTGTAACATAACACAATCTCTTGTCTAATAAGTTAACTGTGTTTTAAGGAAATAAGTGCCACTTCCCATTCCTACAGTGGTATTGTTTAATATCGGATATCGGCATAAACTTAAAGTCAGTGTATCGATATCAGTACAGGAACTGAAAAAGCTGGATCTGTGCATCCCTATTTTTTACTGACACGAGCATGGATATCACTGATGATTTAAAATTACTGAACTTTAATTTTGATTCATTGCACAGCCCTATCCAAAACACACAAAGAACAAAATTTACACAGAAAGGCCTTTTTCCGGGAGTCAAACCAAAGCATTCTTGCTTTAAGATGATGAAATGGACTTCTATAATATTTTCCTAATAACCAAACGATATAACCATTGCTTTTGTTTTCTGGAAGTGATTAGAAGTGACTATACACTGACAGTGAGTGGCTGAGCGTATACTGGACCCCTGACTGACCTCACAAGACGAACTGACCAGAAGTCTTATAAAATTAATAAAATGTGTTTTAGTAAAATTATTTATAAGATTGATCTTTGCATCAATGTCACAGCTGTCATTTTCCACTAAACTAAAATGACTGTTGATAACCATAGAGTGGACCAAAGCACCCTTTCAATGAATATTAACCCATTTATATTAATAAAGTCAGAAAAAGCCGAGATGTATAGAAAAGGGAGTGAAGGATTTGCATGAGTAAAGTGGAATTTACGTGATTCAGCTTGTGACTGATTCTCTCATTCAGATTAGCTGCCAAGAACAAGACCTCACCGTTTGACCATCAACTTGAACTTCTCCCTGAATGCCTGACCCAGAGGTTTTCATTTCTTTAGTAGCACTGGCGATTACTCACTGACTACCTCCAGTCTTTCAGTCTGCGATCTGTCCTTGGCTTTTTGGAATGAACCAGGCAAGTGTAATGTAATCAAATAGCCAAGCCTGTGAATCTGGCCGTGTGATGTCATCATTATGAGACACTTGTGTGATATCATGATTATGAGGTAATGGCGGGAGGAGTGTGCAAGTTTATGACTTTGGCACATGCTCAGTTTACCGTCAGCCGGCTGCGAGAGGGTACTAATGAGAATGGATGGTTTGCCTCAAGCTACTCGTGTGCGCGCTGTGTTTTTCTGCTCTGATAAAGTGAATGATGTAGTCTGAAAGGTCGATGCTAATAACCTATAGGTAGAAACCGGAGGATGCTAAACAAACAAATGAGGAATCTGAACCACTATTGTCTCTGGACGTTCAGACAATGTGCAGTCTCTCACCAGATGAGTAACATGTGAATGCAGTGAATCAGTTTAAACAGTTCCCAGTGACTTGTTCAAGTTGAGGAGCTTATTTCCAGATGGTCTTGTTGTGGGCCATGACTATTCCTTTAAGTGTTACTTTTTCCAAGCCCCAGAGTGACTATACCCTGTGTATGTGCTCTCAAAGTATAGTGCGTGTACTTTTGTGGTCCTTAATGCCAGTTAAATGACCAATAATGCTTTTTCCTCTGCAACTCTACGCCAGTGTCATGACTTGTAAAATTGAGGCAAGCCAAACACTACATAAATTGCACCTTACCATACAGACTTTATCTGTATATGTTTGTATAGCCTATACAGAGAAAATTCTCACAACTGGGTACTGAAGCTGTGTTTTGCTCAACTCACCTTTTAGAATCAACTGTCTTCAAATAAAAGTAAAAACTTGCTGATCTTACCACACTTAAGTAGGAACATTAGTTTTCAACCTTCACAATTCATCACCAGCAGATCCCAATGTATAGATTAATTCTGAACTGAACACAGCAAAGAAAACCATATACTTATGCTACAAATCGTTCATTGTTTTCAACTAATTGTCCAGTATAACATTTTGACGCCAATCTACCAGTCTTTTTAATTTATCAGTTAATCTGGCTGTTCAGATTTGGTGTTTCACACCACAACCGTGAAGCACTGCTGCTTTGTCAATTACTGAGATTTAGAAGTGAAGGTGTGACCTCACCCAAAAGATCACATGTGCCAAAGTCACCCTGCAGAAATGACATCATGGATAATGATGTCATCCCCAGATCGCAGCAGACCCCTCTCCCTTTCCCACCTAAATGCTTTTAGGCTTGGCTGCACACACATGCACACACGCACGCACATACATACACACACACACACACACATGCACACACACACACACTCACACACACACATTTATATATACACTTTTACTGGTGCCCACACATAAAATCCACCAGCGCAGCCTCACCCAGAGTCGTGATAAGACAAACACACAACAGATGCAATAAGGATCATTTGGCTTGAGAACAAATACAACAAGACTCCAGAGCTAAAAATGCCAAATAATTAGCTTGTAAACGGTTTGTGAGACAAGCCAGCTTTTCCTATTCTGCATTGACAGGAAAAGACCACTTACCGGACTTAAAAAATAATCACATCATGCCTATTTTTAACAGGCTTAAATAAACTCAAGTGTTAATTTAGTGTAGTTTGTCGGGTTAGTCACCAAACTGTGAAAAGTGGTGGTGTAGTGAAGAAATACGTGTTGTCTTTTCTAGCTCTTAGTAGTGTATTTGTGATTTGTAAAACTTTAGATTGTGGTCAAAAATGCATTACTCTGTGTTTCTTGGGCAGATTTTTTTTTACCAAAGTTTGTGAAAAAGAAGAAACATTTAGAAATGAAGAACTGAGAGTATGTACATCTATCAAGGGAATCACCTATGAAATGAGATCTTCTGGTTTATGTTTCACAATCACATCCATAACATTTCTTATTATGTTGAGTGAAATATATATGTCAGCCTGCATGTCAAAACAGTGCAGAATTCCTTAACAATGCCAATGATTTGTAGATCAGTAAACTTCTTTAAATAAAGCATCCATCTGTATCTTTGTTTATTTCAAAAACCTTAAAAAAAAAATTTCAAAAAGTACCTTTTAAAATATACGTTTATTTACTTACTCTCACAATTTGAATCATACCACTTAACGCTTATCACTATCAGACAAACTATTGATCTACAAAAGAAATTATTTGGACCCAATAGCTCACACATCACAATATATTATAATAACAAAGAGCAAAAATGAAAATGGTAATAATCTTTTTAAAATAAGTGGCAAAAATAGCAAGACACTGATGTCAAATAAGACATAATTACACAAATGTATATGTATATGTACAAGTAAAAATAAAATATAGAAAAATACTAATAAGAAATATATCAGGGCTGTATACAAGGAGAAACAGTGTAAAGATGAAATTGTGACATGACAGAAGGTTGTCTATTACATAAGGTTGTTGTACATAAGGAGTTGTTGTACAGTTGTATGGAGTATGGTATAAGTGTATTGTAAATTTGTTATTGTGTTGGTGTAATGGATTTTGGCTAAAATATCATGCATTTCACAATAACAATAGTATGTATATTATTATAAATTATATTATTAGTTACCAAACATATCACTCTACTTGCACTTAACCCTTTGCAGCCCCACCCCAACGCTTCCTCTCTTTTGCACAGTTCTCTATATGGCTACATGCCCAGCTCCTGACCTTAGTAAATACGTGGCTAATTTGAAGCATGTGGCGGCAAATTGGAAACACTGAGCTTTTAAAACTGCAGACTTTTCTTTTGCACATGCTAATTCCTCCCAGGAGATCCCATCAGATGAAATGACCCAAACATGTCAACGTCAGGGTGACACTTGAGGCCAGGGGCGGGGGGTCGTCAGTTGGTGTTACAAAGAGCAGCTGAGGGGGCAGAGGGGAGAGTGAAAGACTTTTAAACAGAGTTGTCCATTTGCGTTGTGCCTTAATAAAACAGACCGCTGTGGTGTCTCCTCCCTCCGTTACTGTCAAACTCTTTATCTGTCATTTCTTTTCTCACACAGGTGGAAAGTCTTAGTGCCTGACCTCCTGCTCCAGAGAAAAGGCTGGCTGCTCCACACGGGACAACAGGTGCACGCAACGCAGGGGTGCAGCTCAACGTGTGGGCTGCTTTTGTCTGTGTGTTTTCACTTTTCACTTGTCTTGATGAGAAAGAAAGAGAGGATTTTAACATCTCCATCTCTCTTTACTGACTATACAAAGGGTACCCCTAAACTGCCAAGCATTTGTACAGAATAAAATGTGGAGTGTTTTATTCATTCAGTCTAATCACATACGCAAATGATAATTCTGATATGCCAATAGAAAGGTTATAAGGATACATGAAAAATACATTTCTCAGATGTATTCTTTCTCACTGAATGAAGAGACTTACTGTAAAAAAAGTAAAAGTTCTAAATACTTAAAAGGTTATTTGTAAGATACTGCTTCTGCTACTATTGATGTTTATAAGACTACTACATACTATAACTGCTCCTTGTGTTTTTTTTACTATTGCTCCTACTTGCTAACTAGAATGAAAGTAGCACTTCCTGATCATTAGAGAATTAAAAACAAACAAACAAAAAACATGTTTGAACAGTTGCATCAATAATGTAATAATTCTTTCGTGTGAGGCCAAAACGTTCATCTTCAACTGTTCATCTTGTTAATTTAGAATTAACACCACCAGGATGGGACCCTTATACACTTGTATATTCCTTATAGATCTGGCACCAAATCAAGGACCCTGGTTGACCACAATCTGGAGATGCTCTACCCTCTTCCGTGATGGTCTAAATTTATCGCTGGTCTCCTCTGAGGCCTGAGCAGGTGGAGGTGACAGGGTTCTGGCCCCATCTCACGGGACAGACGGGGAAGCTACATGACCCACTGATCATGGCATTTCCACTATACTGCTAACACACCAACAAATATTATCCTTTTTTCTACATTAAATGGTCAAAACAAGGTTACAATTAGGACTAACAAACCTAAATAAACTGGGCCTACATTTTGAACTTCTGACACTTCAGATTATATATTTTTCTGTAACAAAAAGTCATCATTGTTACAATAATAATGTTATCTGCTTTAAAATGATAATTACCTGCCACTTCCAAAGAGCACCTGACACGTACCTTTTAACATGAGCATCCCTAAAGCATCCCCTTTGCTTCTTTAACAATAATGAATTTGCAGTATAGTGTACCCCTAATACTATACACATATTAATGAATTCATTACAAAAATGATATCTCAATATTTAAAATACCTCATGTTGTTTCCAAAAATCTGTTTCAGCATTTTATACCAGTTCAATGCAATATCGCACACATATATTGTATTGTATCTATGTATTTCACAGACCTGCTGATCCCCATATTGCCGGCCCATTCACCAGGATGACATCATAGTCTCGAGCCATGCCAACTGTGCTCCATAAAGCCCAGGCGTGTTCAAGGCAAGTGCCTCTGCTGCTGTGAGACTTGCGTGAAGATCGTAGTGAGAATATCTCTGTACTCATTTAGTCAATGTGTATAATCTGACAATATGGCAATTAGCAGTAAGTAATTGTATTGAAATCACCACTGTATCACCACTACAATGCCAGTTATCAGCAGCTTTTGCGCTTCAGATTGGAAATAAAGTTTAAACTCATTATCCAACCTACTTGGAGACTACATTGCCTGACATTCAGAGGATAAAAGCTTTTATATATACAGTACTAATATCTACAATTGCAGTTCTCCTTTAACCATGTGTAATCATTTGCATTAAGGCTAGCAATTATACTGTATATATTTAATGTTACAGAGTCATCTTGACAGAGCCCCCTCATTTTAGGATAGGCACAAAGACATGCACAAGCTTGTGGACTGCCTGCTACTACATTACCTGTGAATGCCAAGAAATTGTTATGGTAAAATTATAGGAACATGCACATGCCTGTACTTTATGTGCAGCTTTACTATTAGAGATCCCGCTTTACTGATGTTGCAGAAATCAGAAATGTTTAACCAACTTGTCCTTCTTTGATCCCATCATTTTCCAGTGCTCCTTACCGCACCTTTACTTTTCCAATCACACCAATTTTAAGACCAGCAATCTCCAGCCTTAATGCGCCTATTGCTCTCCCATTCTCTCTGAGTGCTATGTGCTAACACGGCACTTTGGCCAAGGGTTGTGGTCTCGCGGCTGAGTGTCAAGCAGCACCTTCCCCTCCGAGGGGAGCAGCAGAGGCAGAGCAGCGGGAAAAGAAAGCACACTCACACACACATGCACACACACACACACACACACACTGCATGGTGATGTCATTCTGAATGACATCATCCTGTGGAGAGGAGCCAAGGGACCTGATGGGTTAGCATCCTCCAGCGAGTTAAAGAGAGAGAGAGAAAGAAAGAGTTGTAAAGAGAGGGCGAGTGAGGAGCTGTTAAAGAGGCGATGACTGAGATCTGTCATTCTTTCATTTACTATTCACTATATGGTCCTGGCCCACTGCTTTTACTCAGGGAGCCTTTGTTGTGAGTGTAGACTGTGCTGCTCTTGCTCTAGACACAGTTTCAGACCTGGGAGGGCACCTGATTTGGGCCAAGCCTTACTTTTAGATTTTAAATCATATGTTAGTTGTGCAAGCTTATTGGTCTTATAGGGATAATGGTCTTTTTAACCATTTCTAATTGTAGTCTTTGCAGTGGTTTTTCTGAGATTTTACATTTTATTCATTTGTTTCAATTTTGTTTTCTCAGGTCTATTTGACAATTGGGCCTTGGTTACAGTATAGTATAGTCTGGGCATTTAATGCTTAAACGTGTAATTTTTGATCATTTAAATCTAGTTGCTGTCTATATGAATATGAGTTATTTATTCAGTATTAACGAGAAATGTGTGAGCTAAATCAAACATAAACATTTTGGTTTCCTGAATATTTTAAACCTCTGTAATCTTGGGCTCTCACGAGTGCTGATGCATACTGCCACAACTTAAATCAGGACAATGGCCATTTGGCTTCATGAATGTTGAAGGATATTTTACATTGTTAAATGTAGTTTTGTACACAGTGTCTCTTTATTTTCCTTTTTATAGACAACATAGTATATTGTGATATTCTGGTGATGAGCTCACATATCCCATTACTTGTTTGCGTCTTACTGCAGGTGCTGTGGTTGCAGGAACTCTGCATGAGTGAAGCCATCAAGTAACTGAAGAGACTCAGGCCAGAGCACTAAAAAGAGCAGCACAATATACTCGGTACATATTCACTATGGCATTGTCTTCATGTTTAACCTGCCTTACAATCACATAGACCTCCACACGTGTCCCAGCGTGCTTCCAATGTTGTCCACTTGGCTGTGCTGTGCTCCACACTGTGCTCAGCATGCCTGCAATCTGAAACCAGACACCTATGTGCAAGCATCCTGATAAATACACCTCTCATTATCTAGAACTGTGTCCATGATGAGACCAATTCACCTAGTACTAACGCACTATGCTTCAGTCATAACCGTGCTATAGTAGTCCTCATGCCAGCTTTATATTCCCCAAACACCAGAATCACTCCGTCCACTGGAGCATATTGGCAGATGAAAGCTGGGGTGTTTTAACATGATGATTCAATCTTCCTTATCGCACACTGCTGTTAGTGTCCAACTGAGTCAACAGTCTAAATACAGAGGCATGTCGTGTGGGACAGAGGAAGGGAGTGATGGTGCGCTAGCCGGGATGGGATGATGTGAGGGTGTGAGTATGCACAATATCCTTAAAATAAAAATATTGAAGTGCATGACAAACTGAAACTCTCTTTTGTCTTATTTAAAGGGCACATTTAAGCCTCACTAGATCCACAGTGCTGCACAAAGGATTTTAGAAATGGCTATGAGTTACAATGTACACTTCAAAAATACAGTTTAATTATATTGTCCTCAGACCATCCACAAACTGTAAGATATTTTTGTTCATGGTAAATGCACTTTTTTAAGCCACCAAAATCTACTGTATGTAGCAAAACAATATGAATTATCCAACAACAATAAACTATTTCTGTATTTTAAACACAGTTGGATTACAACTTTTTACATTCTCACATTTGCTCTATAAAACTAGATATATTTACTGTATATCATAGTAATTTTGCAACTTGTGTAAGGAGTTTAGTAATTGTCTTTCTTTAGACAGTTGAAATTGTGTTTGGTCTGTTTTTACATGTCTTTGTCTTTTAACAACACATCTATTTTTGGTGTGCATGTGGTATGTGCATAGTCACCATCCATTCTTCCCGCCATTCTTTCTTCCCTCCTCAGTGTTGAAGCTTGGGCACAGGCACACTCCTACTCTTCCGAGCTTAGTCATAGGCCTCACTATCTGGAGCTCTCCAAAAATGATAGTTTCGGTCACTTCCTTGTGTGCTTCTCACCCTCTCAGCATGCCTTTTATCACTATAGCACACACTGGGCATGCAAATCTTATACAGATAGCAAATAGGAAACAGTATTTAGCTTCTCTTGGTGCTATCCGGTTCTTCAGGTTGACTCTGTATGCTGTAATGTAAGCCTTTCCAAGACAGACAAGAGGGGCATATACTGTGGTCATTAGCCATTGTGCTCTGGTTTTCTGTGTTTGGCTTGGGTCGCTAAGTTACCTGTTGATTCCTATTGTGGTACTGTGATGACTAGGACAGGGCATTGAAGTTATCACAGGAACACTGTGTGTCCCTATAGACACCAGACCATACGCTCTCTGTAAATATGGGACACCTTTTGTGAGTACAAGCATGTTCCAGTGAAGGTGTCTGACTTCCTGTCAGCTTGTGTCACCTACTGCTATCTACATTACATAACCTTAAACTGGTCACTAGATAATGAGTTCACACTTCTGCTTATCCATGTATAACCTGGCTGCAACTTTCTATAATAATACAGAATATATACATAACATATACTGTGTTGACCATAAAAATTGATCACAATCTTTTGAATGTTTATTTTATTTATTTATTTATTTATTGAGAACTGTGTCTAAATGTATCCATTGCATTGCAACTCTAAGCTGAATGCAGTCCTATATTAATACCATAAGTAACTTACATTCTCTGGAGAATGTATTTTACTTGAGATGTTGAAACATTGTTAACTTCAACTTACATTTCTACAAAAGTCTCCCTGACTATTGACCAGTTTGGTGTTTGGTCATACTCATAGTTAACTACCAAGAATATGGGACAATTTGCACCAAAGGTGTAATTAGCAAAGTCCAAGAAAGGGTTCACTGTTTTCTGTCCTCTGAACTCAACGCTTTAATTATCCTCAATCAATGCCATTTTCTTCTTCTCTTGATTTTCCCTCCCTGTCTTTTCTTTGCAGTATTTGAGAGAGCAGCATCATTCCAACTCACCAGCCATGGGCGCCCTCAGTTGACCTACTTCTGCACTGGACTCAGGGTGCAGCAGGGACAGGCCTGTCCCCCTCTGTGGGCCTGTAAAGATACATATGCTCAAACAATAGCTTTACTGTGCTTACTGTAACCAAGTTGAGATACTGCAGGTAAGTATTATATTGCTACAAGTTATAGTTAAAACTTTAATAAACATTCTAGCAATGACAGCAATAAATCCCACATTGACCAATAATACATTATAATTGTCTGAGTGAGTGTTTCATTAGCAACATTAGAAATCCAAAATGCGATGAGTTATTTCGTTTTGACTCATACAGAGTCTTCCCACACAATGTGACCTTTCAGTGGCTGATCATATTGTGAATATCTCAAGAAAATAAAGATGATATAAGTTAGTTCTGTCACTGTGCCATTATAAATAATCGCTTGGCCTATGATAGTACGTGCAAAAAAAGCTTCAGGGTTTATTTTAACAAATGATCAATTTGTTTCTTACAGATTGTACAGGTTTTTTTTTTTTTTTTGGACAATGTTTTGTTATCATCCAATATTGTGTGTGACTGCTTAGCTTGTGCGTAATTGAGCCAAGGGCAGCCTTGCGCTTTTTCCCTATTGTCCAGTAATCAACAGCACCTAATGCTTTAACTTCAATATTAACAACAGTCGAACAGCTATAGAAATCCATGTAAATTGGTGTATGGCTCTTACAAAGTCTCTTTTTCTCGATGACCTTTAAGAGGGAACCGCAACCCATCAGATTATTGCGCTTGATTTCTGTGTCTTCTTTGCATTCTGACTGTGCACCGGCCCACACATCGGGCAAATATTCAAATACACCTGCAAGCTGCAAAACTGTAGTGTGACACTCCCAAGTCCAAACACAACATGTTCAGTTCTTTAACGTAACTTAATTCAGGAGTTTTACGCACAACTCGTAGTTTAAAAAATGTCCAGCATAGTTGAACGCCTTACTTTTTCCCCAGTGGGTTTGCACTGTTGGTAGATGAACCGAAACATGTTACTCTGAAGTTGAAATTCTGCACTCCCAGTCCTTTTGGACTTGTTGGGTATTTAATTCCACCGATACCAGGGATACCTGTTTTCAACTTGCCTGTTCAAGCAGCACTATCAACATTAAAAAACATATCACTTTTATCATGTGCTTTGTGAGTACTCACACTTTAGGCTTCGCTTGTAAAGACGCATACGAACGTACAGTATTTCCACTGCTGAAGAGAGACAATCCGCTGAACGTTGCCTTTACCTATTTCTCTGAGGTATTAAAAGTTTAAAGCAATTGTAAAACTTAAGTAATATGCGCCAGGTTTTGAATAGCCGCTTCAACAGGACCCCACGCAGTGGTCCCATCTTTCTGGACCATACAGCCGAGGATGGAGCAGTGCGCCTTGATAGTGACTTCATTGACATCAGCAGCTTCCTGATGCAATGCAACTGTAACAGCGTGAGGGAAAACGGGGAGATCACCTTTTTATCCGATGAACCGAGATGATCCTATTTCTGCATAGTAAGCCGTCTCAGCTCTGTAAACTCGCTTCCAAGAACCGTGCAAGAGATTGTCTACATGTGGCTATGTCAATTTCCAGCCGTCTGATTTCATAAATGTGACTTGTTGAAAATTGCAAAAACTAAGGAATTTAAGACAAAGACTAAGATTGTTAAGACAGTATATGGCATTTTTTATTCTTGGTTCTCATCGTGCACAATGAGAAAGTTTTTGGTCATCTG